TTAAGAAAATGCTTTGTCACTGTAAGTGCAAGCTACCTGTGCAGTGATTGGCACTCAGTAATTCAGCTGTTAAGATTTATTGTTCAGTTCTTTTGTTTAAATCCAAATTTGCATATGTTGGCCCCTGACCCCTGTCTGCCTTGAACCATGTGGCAGTTCAGTGTGGTTCCAGTCTTCCTAAAGTGAAGATGTGTCCTGGGTTGTTTGAGCCAAGATTCAGTAACACGCAGTGGTGGTTTGGTTTACTTGTCCCGAAAGACGTCACTATTCAAGGTAAGCATTATTAGTGTTTTAATTTGTAGTATTCGTGTAGTTGTGTAATAATTTATTCTTTTGTGCACTTAACATTGAGCAAGTGCCTTTGGTATGTTTTCTTTATAGACCACATGGCATGGAGTAAAGTACGGAACAAGATGTTGGTGTCGACAGTTCCTTTGAAATACTCATTCTAAATTCAATTTAATTTGTGTAACTTTGTTATTTGCTAATTTTTACTGTTTTTGAATTTCTATTTAGAACCGTGTTCCATGTCTCTGTGTATTGTAACTCGTGTATATAGAATAAATGTAAGTTGCGCGTTACTTGATGGTGTTATTATACTCGTAAACCTCCGTAGGGTTTTGGATCCTACAGTCACAAAATGATATATATACCATACATGTATGTTAAAGATGTCAAATTAAGAAATAATCATCGGACAGAAAAACAAACCTCTGTAGAAATCGGAAGAACAGTTTGACAAAATTGTCACTATTTTAGTGTTTGTTATATTGACGAGTAATTTGTGTACGTAGGTTTTAGTACTGTAAAATAAACTCTAGTTAATGGCGTCTAGTGGTTGCTTGGCAACTAAATAAAATGTCCAGGTGTACATGCATGAATCAGCTAGGTCATGGTTTAATGAGCAGTGTGCTGGTATTGAGTATGAATTGGCTGTTATGGTATGCACTTACAGGTGGGTGTATGGAATTTAACTAATGCAGGTTGGATTGATGAATGGAACTGCTTTTGTGATGCAAAGTATGTCAGTGTGCTGGGTAATTCTGCAGTGTGATGTGGGCAGTTGTCAATTAGTTGTCCAGGAATGAGCATCTCCTGCAATTCTACTTGTGGTGACTCGTAATTTTACTATCAACTGGTAAGATGTTGGTGGGAGTCTGTTGTAACTTCACTGTATTAGGTCTGCCAAGCATATAGAGTAAAGGTCTGCCAAAGTGGTCTTGCAGCTTTAAGATATTCCAGAGACTTGGAGTTTACACCGTTTTGGTGAGAGAGATGGGTAAGGCACCAGCACATAATAATCTGTGAGTCGTTACGCATGGTGCATGTAGGGCAGTCTGTGTGAAAGACTGAAGTGGAATTTTGGACTATTGGTAGTGAAGCCAAAAAGTGTTGTATTGGGCAAGTGAACAATTGAACTTACCGGATATTAGGACAGTCTAAACTGGTTGGTTGATTAAACCAATTGTATTACTAACTTCTGTCAGATCTTAACTTGCTGCTTATTCTTATATTATGTGTATGCTTCATGCATTACTGTAGTTTAGGAGTGAGTATTCTAGTATTAATTCTGTACTACACCTTGATGTGTTTTCTGCTTGTAATGTATGTTACATGTGGAGCTTACCAAATATTTCTGAGAAATGGGGCCTGCACTTTCATTCAGAAGATTGGAACAAAAATATCCAAATCTTTTTGAGAAAAAAACAGAAAATTCACTGAAATGTTGTATGTTGCTCCAAAATTAAGGTTCATTTTCAGAATATATGAAAAACGTTTGGGCAAGAAATTCCAGTGGTGAAAAGGTAAACATGAAAAATAACTAACTAAACTAAACTACAATGTACCTAACTAAGTAAACCTGTCTAGTTGACAAAGAATGAGTTGGCTAATCTCTTGTAGGAAATTATGCTAAAGTATATTTACTTACATGTGATTATTATTCCATTGGATTCCAGATATTCACTCCTACCTACTGCATACTCTGCACAAACTCTGAAGTAGTATTCAGTAGATAGCTTAAGATTTGTAACATCATATGAAGTAACATTAGGTGGAATCTGATTGCTAACTGTTGTCCATTCTCTCTTTGTACCAGCACGTTGCTGAATGATATATCTAATTATTGTACTGTCACCATCACATGGAGGATTCCATTTAAGTTTGCAGGATTGTGCATTGATGGAAATCACATTCAGGGTACCCTCAGGTTTGGATGGTTCTAAAAATAAGTAATGTGATTTAAATTTATGAACACGAAACTACAAAGTGAATAAGATTGAATAACAGTATACAATAGAGATGGA